TTAGGTTAGGTTACCTTTATTGTCCACATTGTGGAAATTTGTCATTGGCTTCACCTCACAGTTAAAGAACACACAGTACATGTGCTCAGACAGTCGGACAGTACACATGACCATACACATACTATGTGAACATGGCAACACTTAGTTTTACAAAATAAACAATGGGTAAAAATGCAAACTGATAAAAGAATATCCATCAATGGAATAAGAATGACAATAATAGTGGGAACAATAAAAAGAGGAGGGCTGCATTTCCAGGAAGTAGGGAAACTTATTTAATATTCTGACTGCATTAGGCAGGAAGGACTTTACTATACATATTCCTGGTGGCTCGTACTTATGTGCACCACCTCCTCTTAGTTTTTATCATGACTTCCATCAAAGTGATCTTGTTGCACCTCAAACATTTAACGTTGCTGCAATTAGGAAATGATTCAGCATTTTGATTGTGCTGTGTATATTTTGTGTGTTTGCTCAGCTACACTAAATTAGCATTAATGAATGTTATGGCCTCCCATCAGTTTGACAGGTCTATTCTTTAGATCAGTTTTAATTGTAATTAAGCTCTGATTAACGAGCTGGATGATGTTTCATTCTCTTTTCATGAATATAGCATAATATGTTATGAAAGTAATCAGAGGGTTGTCAGTTTATTTGTTAATGAGACTCAGTTATATGTCAAAACAAACTAAACTCTCTGTAGAAGTTTGGAGGCTTTGGTTAAGCAGCTCTTCTGCTCCTGTTTTGGTCCTGGGGAAGCTACATGCGCTAATCTTTGTAGGCACAGATGTTTGTCTGGAAAACACAGGTGTGGGGTAGCCCCTTTCGCTTGTAGCTGAAGATGCTCAAACGCAATATCCTTGATTCAAATCTGGCCAGGCAGCTTTGTTACATTTCACTCTCACTCATTTCCTGTTATCTCTGGTCTAGTGCTATCTAATCAGGGCATTGAACATGTCTCAATATAAAAGCTGATGGTCACACTTTGGAGCCAGTTGCTAAATTTGTTGAAAGGGATCTAAGATTTAACACACACCACACAGTCAATTAAAAGTTTGTGATGCAGGTTTGCTGTGTGGTCAGACAACCACATCAAATCCCAAAAGAGGGAGAGAAGAAACTGCATGAAGCCTTGTTTCTATTTATTCTTAAAATTTACTTGATTTGTTGCATTTGCCAGAATGTATTTCACAGTTTTTTTTTCCTTGGGATGAATGAAACAAACTACTGTGCATGAAGATAACATCACGGTCTCAGCCTCACTAGATAGGGCCAACAATAGCATTTGCCAGTGTATTGCCTACAAGTTGCAGTTACTGTTTTCATCTCTTCAGTGGGAGCATTAAGTCATGCGCTTTGTTTACATTGCAACTTATTTACCAGCTTTGTTTCCATTGCACTTTGTCACACTTAGTTTTTATCAATACACCAGTTTTTCTACCTCAGCCAGGCATAAAAACTTTGTTGTGATTGTGGGTGGAAATGCACTCACGGTATCCATAAAACACACTCAACAGTCAGCCCAGTCAGTCAGTCTTATGTAGAAAAGGGCGTAGAAATTCAGAATATTGTAGTTTTTTTTAATTGTAATATCATCTTCAATACCTTGTGAAATCAACCTTCTGGATCAAATATGCCAAAGGTCTGTTGGTTTTTGCCAGTATAGTCAACATTACTGCTTTATTTGTTGAGTTGGATCTTTTCAGTGGTGATTTGTTTTGTAAAACTGTGTGTCAGCTGGAATACTCGCATTATTTTTAAGTAATAACATGATTTCTTTTGTTTTTAACCGTGACTAACAAGAGAACCAATGCAGGGCTGCTTTGACCCAGAATTCTCAGATTTTTCTTTCTTAGCATCTGATCAGAAAAACAAAAAGCAGATGAAAATAATAAAGATATGCATTGACATGCTGAAAGTGCATGTAAAGGCATCTATTTTATTGAAAACTGAAGAGTCTGAAGCCTCACTGTGTCATCCTTGGCAGTTCAGGGAATGTTAACAGGAAGTTGTCTCCTTTTAGTTTTTTTGGATTCACTGGTGCTGTACAGACTTTCCGTCGTCCTTCTCTGACTCAAAAGGCGTCAGGGGTTTGTTTGCTTAAGCACACTTATTTCTGTCTCAGACCCTTTTTCTATCTTTTTATCCATCTGTGTCCGTTTGCTTTAATATTTCTGCTTGAAGAGTTGATGATCCCTATTTTTGTTCAGTGAATAGAAAGAAGGAATTGGACAGAAAATAACAAGCAAACCACATCATAACCTGAGCAAGAGCCAGGGAACTCTTGCCATGCAAAGGTTTTCTTCCAGAAAACACAAAATCCAAAGGGCTCTTGGGCAGAGATATTGGGGAAAACTGTGAAATACTTTGTCACTGTTTTGGCAACAACAGATGACTTTGTGCTCAACATGTGTGTGAGTGTTTATACATCATTTCCCTGGAAAGTGTCATGCTTGCGGGTGGGCGGGGGGTTGGTTCTGGTTGGGTTGCGGTTAACCAATCAAGGTCTCTAGGGTTACTCTGCCTTTGTTCTTTGTCAGATTCTCAGGCGTTCTCACCCTTGGCTCTCAGTGATGGTGTGATAGAGTCTTAGACTGGAGAAGTGCTGGAGTAGCTATTAGCTGCTTGTCTTTCTAGTCCTCTGAGAACATGAAGGCCCCATTAGCCTGGTGAGCTCAGCTGTCTTCTGGTGCTACACCCAATGCCGTAGTCCACTTGTGTGTGTGTGTTCGTGTGTGTGCATACACTATACACTCTTTAGAAAAGGCCTGTCTTCAATATTAGTCTAGTTACACTGCCATTTGACTGGGTACTAGCAGTTCATTTTGTTTCTGATTATTTTTAATAGGGCATCATAGGGTGATGCAGAAACTGTTGACAGATTTTTAAATTACGCCATTTAAATGAAGTCTAACAAATTTGGATTTTTTAGACATAAAGCAGTATTTCTCTTTCGTCCGCCATGCCAGTGGACCAAATTAGTAACATTATGAGGCATTGACATACTGACATTTACTAATATTGCAATTTTTATGAACCTTCAAAAACCAGTATCAACAAATGACAGTAGTCCTGCATCTTTTAAAGGAGGTTCTGAATTTTTCAAGGCAGGCATAATGTAATAGTCAAGCACCCATCTGAACATTAAAACAGGTTCTGCTTGCTGAAATCATTCCTCCTTTTTATACTGGCCATTAAGAGATCCTGTAATGCACTTGTGGTGTCATTGATAGGGACCCAAGGTCCTTGATGTGTGGAAAAATAATTCCTAAGATTTATTTGAAGTTAGTGTGAGGCTTCAGCAGTCTGAGTGGGGATCATCTAAAGTTAGTCTTTTTGGTACAAAGTTCCCTCTTTCTGTTACTATCCCTCCCCTGCTGCTCTTTGTGGAAATACTGTCTGGGGAAGGTGGAAATAACTTGTGCTCGTGTCAAACCGGCCTCACACTAGAGGATAATTAGCCCTATCTCAGGCCCGATTTGCTCTTCCCAACAATCGTAGGGGCGTTCCCCAACGTAATGCTGCTTGGAAGCGATTCTCCAGCCAAATGATCCTAAGAGCTAATCGTTATGCCTCTGACAGGATCGGAGGGCCCCTGATCTTAAATCGTATCAAGCATGTTTGATATTTAAGACTTCGAATTTTGTAGTATGGGGGCAACAGTGATTGAATCCTGACTATACACCCACAACAACAAATGACAGTAGCTGGCTGGGAAGCGTCACAACATTAGCTTGCACTAGTCTCCTCGTTTCTTTTTTTTCCAACCCACATCCAACTTTCACTGCAAAATGTGTAAACTGTGTTGATTTCATCTTCTCTGCCTACAGTTTTTTTTTCTCCTCTTTTATTTCTCTGCACAAAACATATCACACACGAGCACTACTGCTTGATGTCCGCCTCCATGTTTGTTAAGTTCTGAAGTCACCTATGGTCACATGTGTTTCTGTGAGATCCATGGTCCCTGGAATCAGCATCTCTGAACTCATTCAGTAAAAACAGCAGGTGTGTGACCAAATCATCTAGTGTGTGCTCTTAAGATTAAAATGTGAAAAAACTTGTTAATGCTGTTGTTATGTCTGTGGTCTCCCATGTTTTTAAAATCGGTTAAGATTATAAAATCCTCTAGTTTGGGCCCAGCCTCACTCTGCAGCTCATGATGCATCTCCTGTGAATCAGTTTGCTTCTGTAGTTTTACTGTAAGGAAGAGCACAAATTTGCCTGCCATTCAGTGAAAAGCTTATGCAGAAGGAGTAAAACCATTTTAACAATGATTCAAACAAAATGGAATGTTTTGAAAAGGATGAACATCATTTGAAAGACTAATCTACATTAAGTCAACCTCATCATGTCCATGACACTGTCACTGCTTCACTGTTTGTCCTTCCTTAGACATTTTTGGTAGGTACTAACCACTGGGATCACCTAACAAGACCCACAGTGTGGGGGATGCTCTTGACCCAGTCATCTGGATACCACAGTTTGACCCTTGTCAAAGTCACGCAGATCCTTATTCTTGGCTGTTTTTCTCACTTCCAACACATCAATTTCAAGAACCAAATGTTCACTTGCTGCCTAATATACCGCACACACTGACAGGTGCCATTTTAATGAGATAACCGGTGTTATTCACCTCACCTGTCGGTGGTCATAATGTTATGGCTGAAAGCATTATGAAGGGATCATTCAATGGTGTGAAAAGAAGAAGTGATTACAAATAGTACAAACTGTTTCAGTCCTCCTGTCAGCATTTGACTGTTGTTTTAACACAGACCTAAAAACCTGGTCATACTGCAATCAAACAGGACAGGTAAAAAGTCAACAGCTATGAGAAGTCCTACAGTGCAAGCACCTACCGGAGAATAATGGAGAGTTTGAGCATCCACAGTTCCATGACTGGGCATCTGCTGATACAGACTGTGTAATGTGGTCCAGAGCCCTGGTAAACAAGTGAGTGGTTTCTCTTGAATTCAGACCGATTTGTAATGTGTGTTTTGCAGGTGAACGAGGAGACTGTGGAGAGGCTGGTAGTCCAGTACCCTCACATTGTTTTCAGCACAGTGATGCAAGACTGCAAGAGAACCCTGGAGAGAGCTTATCAAATGGGCTGGAGCCCCAACACGTCGAACACTTCGTAGCTACTGCTGAATCACACTCGCACATACTGACATACTCATGCAAACAAAAAGGTGGCCACAACCAGAGAAGCCCTTTTTGTGTGTGGACACACATACACGAAATTTGCAGCTCAGTCACATTTGCTTCTCATCCACTGTTCAAACTTGCATGTGAACACATAGCCACACATTCAGTTTTAAAGTTTAAAAGACAAAGGTCCACTCTGTCAACTGTTTCATTTGCAGCAAATTTCTCATTTTAAAAATTTAAGTAAAGTAATGGCTTCCTGGCATTTTAGATTTAAGTGAGATGTCAGTCACATGCCAATCTTAGGTTATACTCAACAATTTGACTGTATCTTCCTCACAGTTTCATTTGATATCTGCTATAAGTGAAGGTTGGTCAGCTGATAGAATATTCAGTCTCATTCATTTTAAGCTCTCAGAAGGGGGTGGTCTGGTCATGAATATGTGAAAAAGATTTTTGTTTTTAAAAAGCTCAATTAAATAATAATTGGACCAAGATAATAAAAAAAAGATTAAAAGAAAAGTTTGTTGCCCTAACTTGAACCAGTGTTCCAGAGCACTGCAGCCATTTCAGTCCAAAGAGCTGTTTCTCCAAACTGAAATCAGCTGCTGCAGTGAGGTCACGCAAGACAGAACAGCGACTTGAAGATCAGGAGTCAACATCTGGCCACTTCAGACTGGAAGACACCTGAGCCGCCAGGGCAACAGACCTTAATTAAGGCATTTTGTCATGTTTATTTTGTCCAATTAGACCACTGTTTTCTTTCTTGGATGTTCATACAGTGTTAAAGGCATTTCTGGGCTCACACATGTTGCAGTTGTTGACTAATCTCTGTTTGAGGGCTGTGACTCAGTACACACATTGTTGTGGTACAGACCAGAATCTGTCAAAACCCTGGCAAAGGTGTGGCAGGAAAACAGCACTGATTATATTTTAAAAGTGCATGCTTACTTTAAGATCCTTGCCATATTTTCTCAGCTGGATACAGAGTACCTATGGCCCGAAACTGAAATGAACAAATGTATGACTTGAGATCAATGCTGCTTTTATTGCCATGCATAGATTTACTGTTGACCTGGCATCACCTTGAGTCATCACAGAATTAAGTTAAACAGTGTTCGAAATAGAAGTTTTCTTTACCTAAGACTCCCAGATCTTTTTATCAAAATATTAACCACAACCACCTTGATGACAGGTAGGAGGAAACATTGCCTAGGTAGTTTCCATTCAGTTAGCAACATGCAGTCAACCATGAATTTATTAGAGAAAGGTTTATCTGCTCTGCGTTTATCAGATACCATAATCCCATTATTTGAACTGCTACAATATATACATATATAAATAAATACTGTGTGGGATTTACTTAGCTTAATTATTGTTTTGAGCATATACTTGTAATATTAGCTATGTAGCAGTGCAGTGAGGGATTTATCTTCGTAGTGTGTATGTAAAGAAAAAATCTGGCTTGGACCTAAACTAGAGCCAGTGAAATATGGTAGGCGAGAGCTGAGCATTTTTCATCTATTCTATAGAAACTCACTAGTGTACAGTTAAAAATGCAAATAACCACAGTATTTTTCTACGGTGTGAACCAGCTCTGGGCTCAGCCTCCACACACTGTCACTCACATATAAACAACAGCTTACTGAGCTTAGGGTTTGAGCAGAACTGTAAACTTTCTACAGTATATAGAGATTTCAGATGATTAAAAACACATTCATTTTACCCTTGTCAGGATTTGTAGACTAGCCAATGGAGAGTTTATTCCTTTGTCTGTTTTTCTTCTCTTTCTGTTCTTTTGTAATCCCCATATCCACTTTCTTCTCTGCTAGATGTTGACACACTTGATTCCTGATTTGTTAAGGCAACCATAAATGACTGGATTTACATAAAGATGAATAAAACACTACTGCTTCAAACTCTTTTCTCTTTCCTTTTGTATTTGTAATTGATGCCAGAGAAGACTATTCAGAAAAACAGAGGTATACTTTGCTGCTCATGTGACTAATGTCTGCTGCTTAAAACATTTTTCCAGGTGGTTTTTTTCCAGACTTTTAATTAAATCAATCACATTTCAACACAAAGAATTTACTGACTCAAATAAATTTACACAGGTTGCTGTATTCTCAGGTAGAATGCAACTAGACCAACAAGCGTTTTCCACCACAAACCAAAGGATTCCAAATGTACAGCTATGAAATCTAGAGGTCTTTGTAGTTTCCACAGATCCCCATGCATTGATAATGTATTTTCCACCATGACACAGCAATCAGCCTGCATTTCTGTTAAGCTACCAGTGATGTCAAGGTCAGACCTGATGTCCCAATCACTGGAGCTTCACATCTGAGACGAAGTGAGGAGACATCAGCTTGCTGCCCAGCATGATGGCTAAGTTAACACAGAGCAAAAAAGATGTGACTCACTATGTCCTCAGTCTTTGACAGTGTTGTTGCTGTTGTGTAATTAAAAATCTACTCTACAGTTCATGCATACTGTACATTTTCCACTTTTACTTATCAAACAATGCACAAAGAATGAAAATTAAACACCTGCACCGTCTTTTATAACCAGTTATTGGGACCCTACAACTACTGCTTACATTTTTTCTCCTAATGTATCATATTGTTTCAGTGTTGTGTTGCATTTCTATGGTGTTTTATCAGCTTCCACATTTTTCAAATGATCCTCATATCTACTGTAGCTGTGATGCCAGTAATTTTAATCAAATCCTGTCCTTTTTAAACTGCCTCGAAGACATCCACAAATGGATGGCTGCTAGTTTTTTTTATTCAAATCCACAGAAATTTGTAATCCTTTTAATTGCTGCAAACCTAGAAATTATAGAGAAACTTGGTTCTAATTCTCATGTTATCACCCAGCAGTGTAGAAACCTTGGCAGTTTGACGGCAACCTCACTAGTCACGTCAGCTCAATTGCACTGTCTTGTTTCTTTCAACTTAGGAGAATCGCAAAGGTCAAATCATTTTTGTCTACCGTGAATCTGGAAACATTCCCATGTACTGTAACCGTCTCTCACAAAGGTAAAGGGAGAAGGGAGTCATTCACTGGCAGTGAGGATCAAAAGTCTATTCTTCAGTGAAGAGTAAGGAAGCCCCTCTTTCACTAGCTTGTACATCATTGGCCCTGACAAGCAGATAATATATGAGCCTTTGGCTTGGTTCCTTCTGCATTTGTTGAATTCCTTCTGATTTTAGAATGACTGGATTTATATATATATATATATATATATCTGTGCTACAGTGACCGCTCCTTCTTCCTGCTCTCTTCTCTCACTGCTCTCTTGGGTAAGTCATGCAGCTTACTGAATTTTACTGCAGACAATTAGCACCTTTTCAGATGTGAGTGTATGCCATCGATTCTCCTGCTGATTGAGGTAGATTCTATCAATGGCTCCTCCTTGGACTCTTGCAATATTCATCAAGGTGGAAGGAGGTATTTGGCCAGCGCATAGATGAGAGACTACCCTCCGGAAAGGAAAAAGTGTGTGTAAGTCGCAGCAGAATTGCAAGAGAGAGCAGTAATTAAACTTTGTAAATATTCAAGTGGTCATTACATTTTTAATGAGGTGCTGATAAGAACTGACGCTGACCATACAGGATATTTGTCACGCTGGACCTGCAAGGACGTTAGTCTAGTCTTCCTAAGAAATTAGTGTTTTTCAAGACCTAATCATAGCTGACATTGACGAATGTCCTCAGCTGAAAAAGTAGAGGGTTCTTTGAACTTCCCCACATAAATTGATGCAATACATCTAGTCACGATGAAGGCCGTGTTACAGAAACATGCCAGTCCACACTGCTTAAGCATTGGTGTGCTGACAAGGAATAAGAATGCAAGAGCCTGATTGTAATGCAGCAGATCAGGAGCTGGATGCTTGCGAGTGAATACTACGTGCTGTAACATGCTGACCCAGGCAGAACTGGGGAGTAACAGCATTAAATAATTAAATTACAAAATAAAGAAAAAAAAATGTATTCACTAATGAAAATGTTGGTCTTTACAAAGAGGTTACATCCAAATGTAAAGTATTGTAGAGTATTCATTCTGCTGCTTTGCATCTTTGTGCAGGTATGTGTTCTTCTGGCGTGACAATGTGGGTCAGTAATGCCACTGGGACAAATTTGAGCCTAACACCATCAAGGGTAGAGTGGCTTACAAGGAGCTGCCTCTAAATCTATGTAGGCTCCATTGATTTGGCAGAATGTGTTGCTTTTGTTTTGTTTTTGACAAGAAAGCCTTTCACAGCTGGAGAGTGTAAAGCTTGTTTACTAGGGGTGAAAATGCTGTCAACATCGAAATGCTCATTGACAAACCTGAGGAAGCTCCTACAGCTATGTTATTGTAACCACAATCACTCACATTAAATAAAGTTCTTCCCATCCCACCATGCTATTTATGAATGTTTAAGATGCAATTTAGCTATGTTTTTCCTCTGTGCCTATTCACAGGCATTTTTGTAAATGAAAAAAAAAAGAGTTATTGAAAAAGAGTCTCTTGGGAACCAGTGTAAAAAAAAAAAAAAAACTGAACAGTAAGCAGCCCTACTGATAGTTCTGTCATGAAGTTGAACTGAATTGTAGATTTGGTTACATTTTTCCTTTGCTGCAGCCACTTTTTGTTTGTGATCTACATTCTGATTTATTTTGGTGGCTGTGCCTTAAAATCAAAACACTACAGTCCTGATTCAGGTTATGTTGAACAACTTTTATTTTATTTAGCTTTGACAGTGTTGTGAGGTTTACACTGCCTGGTTTGCATTTATGTTTTTAGGACTTTTCAGTTTTACTGCCCGTTTGTTAGAAAAGTATTCAAAAAGTAATCAAAGGTAATGATACATTGCTTTGATAAAGTAATTACTTATTACCTTTTAACAGGGTGACTTAATCTGTAACCTATTAAATTTCAAAAGAAACCTTCCCAGCTTTGAAGGATTGGCCAGTGCTTCATCGTATCCACTGAAGCAGCCGTCTGAGTGTGAGTCTGTGTGAGAACATCACTCTATTTTATTCCAAAAACTCTTTACAGAGGGCAGCAAGTTTTACTTCATAGCTTTTTGGAACATAAACTTTGCCTCAGATTCCTTGCATGTGGTTAAATGGTCTCCTCTTTCTCACCTACGTCCGCTGGAGGGTCTACTGAGCCAACGCGTCCCTTCCTCCTATTCATGTTACACTGGATCAACATTATTCTGGCACCTCCCAACCATCCCTCTGCCACACCTCTGCCCTCTCCAAACCCAGATTCTTCCTTACCCCTGGAAATTGTCAGTCATTTGTCTGCATCTAGCCTGAGTGCTCTGAGAGCTAAAGAAAAATATTTCCTGTCCATCATCATATACAGTTCTCCCCGCCCAGGGGAGCAGCTACCTGTGGTATTTTGCCCGCCTACTGACTTCTACAGTTGAGAAAGAATGTAGTGTTGAATAGTGAAGATGTTAATGGGTTGACTTTGTAACTGACACTGACTTTGAGCTGCAGAAGTGAACGCAGACTCCAGAGGAGCTCGGGCAGTTCAGGCCCCAAGGAGACCCACAGAGAACACCAGAAGACAGTATGAATTACACCCGCTCTTTTACTTGTTTTGGACGGTTGAAGTTGGTTAGAGGATGGATTTTCCTCCCAGACACTGCATCTGGAAATTGAACTTGATCATGATAGACCCCTGCAGTCCTCTGTTTAATGTATGAAGATTTATAAGTATGAATTCCACTATAATAGTTTGCCTCTCACCAGGGGCTACAACCAAACCAGCTTTCCTGTCAAACCTCATGAAGATAAAAAGAAATGAGATTTGTTAATCAACCAAATTTTGGCATGCTCCCAGTAGGCTCATTCCAGCTGCCTGTGGAAAATATCAACCAGTGAGCACCCTCAAAAAAAGAGAGGTGTGCACAGAAATGTGTGTTGGTAGGGATAAAGTAGTCGCTGTGATTCCCACTGTTGCATGGCTCTATGTAGATGTTGTCTCTGTCTTTCAAGTTAGAGTTAATTGCGGTGTTTAGGCAGAGCTCATTCTAGCTTCTAAGCAGCAAAGGTTAATAAGCAACAGAAGGATCTCCACACAAGATATGTTGACATTTACATTTTCTTCCTGGCTAAAATGAGAAAGAACCCCATTTGGTGGCACCGGGATGGGACAGGGGAGTAAAACGATTCCTCTACAAACACCCTCATTTCTATGCAAGGCTTGGAGTTGATATGCAGATTTGGCAGTTGGATGACATTTAAAAGTAGTTAATTGTGCAAATCTTTGTTTTAGACTGGAAAGGTCGTGGATAGTGAGAGTCTTTCATCATGAACTAACCCACTCCTCATCAGCACAGCTGCAGAGTGGGGAGGGGGGTTTGTTGGTTTCTCCGCTGACCACCTTATAAAGTCGCCCATCGCTTTTCAAGGTGCTTCATGAATATTTATATGCACAAACTGTTTGGAAAATGAAAATTAATCTGCTGCCCGACGGGAGATAACTCGGCTATCAGTTTTCACCAAAGAATGTAATTCTTCCAATCTATGATGAGAATCCTCCGTTGTTTTCTTTCTCATATTCCTAAATGTCTGGATATCAAATTAAGCATGTTGCTTCTTGATTTTATTTCATTGCAATGTATTCTTCCTCGTATTACAGCATATTACAGTACAAATCAACAATCCAGAAATGTTACTCCTATTGTTTGACTTTCATCACTTAGTCTTTTTCAAGTAAACTTGTATAGGAAAAACAATCTTTCTCTCTGAAAGCAATATGATCATGTTAAATAGATTTATTGCATGTAATATTTTGTCCATATTTTGGATATTACCATCTAACAGGCAACACTGGTGAGAAAGCACAATGAATTGAAGATACAGCAGGTGCAGAGATTGGAAATTTTACACCTGGTTTCACCTGAATAGCACA